CAACAAATCCTTCGCTATGTCACTAAGCTTAAAATACTTAAAAATACAACGAACAAGTCGGGATGTTTTTTTCTTACACACCAAATCTCTCACTGTGTCATATTGCCCAAAATGTGTCAATTGTTGTAAGTAAAAATGAAACAAATATACAAAACATTGAATACTTTAGTGCACCAAATCTCCCAATGTGTCACTTAAGCTCAAAATGTGTCAATTGTTGTAAGTAAAAATGAAACAAATATACAAAACATTGAATACTTTAGTGCACCAAATCTCCCAATGTGTCACTTAAGCTCAAAATGTGTCAATTGTTGTAAGTAAAAATGAAACAAATATACAAAACATTGAATACTTTAGTGCACCCAATCTCTCACTGTGTCATACTTCCCAAAATGAGTCATCGGTTATTATAAATAAAAATAAAATCAAACTAAGAAACAAGCAAAACATTGAGTATTTATTTTAGTGCACCAAATCTATCAGTGTCGCCATACAGCTCAAAATGTGACATGGGTAAATATAAATAAAAAATATTATCAAAAAATCAAACGAATAGATAAGTCAAACAATGAGTACTTTAATTCACTAGCGTAAAGCTAGACAATGGGCTATTTGGTTTCTGTCTAGTGCGTGGAATCGAACCCCGGATTTTAAACTTACCGCTAACTCACCAGAAGATTGATTTAAATATTTCAATCTTGACTCAAACTCGTTGCTCTGTATCGACTCAACTTGCGCTTGTCTATAAAAGCAGATTTGTTTAGGCTGTTTCTGTGAAACACTGTATTATTTAAATAAAGGAGCCGTACTTTATAAAGTATCCAAGTTTTCCATGTATATTCTTTACTTCTGTCGACTGTATTGTAGTTTCTATCTGGAAGTAAGTTACAGGAATGGTCTTGTTTCATGCATGGTTACATTTGACGTCTCTATACAAACTAATAGACCATGATTAGCTAAGTAGTTCTGAATAGACAAAAACTAATACTAATTATGATTAGCTAACTGATTTTGTGTCAGGTAAACGGCAGTATAGATTATAAACGTTGTGGTTCTATGGTAGATAAAATCTGATATTATAATGATTGACTCTATAGTTCTATGTTAGATATAGTGTGTGTAATGACCGATATCACGATTGACTCTAGTTCCATGTTAGATATAGTGTGCGTAATGACCGATATCACGATTGACTCTATAGTTCCATGTTAGATATAGTGTGCGTAATGACCGATATCACGATTGACTCTATAGTTCCATGTTAGATAT